CGTGTGTTCCGACTCTGGCTGCTTGACGGTGCACACTGGTCTGAGGTATGATACATGTCGGGTGAACACTTCGGGTTTGATTACCTCAACTGGTGTCGCTAGCCGAGGGGGGTGGATGGCTGAGTTCAGATGTACGTGCGCTGCGGTTCGTGGCGCGAATCAAGCTCCCTCCCCGTCCCAGCCCCCAGCCTCCCAGAGCCGATGATGAGGATGAGGGGGGCGAGCAGACCAGAGGAGATAATCGCCCATTTCTGTGTCGCAGCAGAGCAGTGGACAGTCGCAATCCAATTCGTCATGGCGCGGAGGGGCAGGCAAAGAAGCCTGGCTGGTTCAGCGGCCCCACGAGCTACGAGAACATCGCCAACTTCAGGCGCGAGAGCTTGACATTGGAGATCGAGCCTGGGTCAGGCGTCACCGTGTGGCAGTCCTTCGAGCGGCGCTGCATGCGGGAGGTCGACTTCCCTCGCCTGGCCCAGGAGCAGCACGAGCGGGTCTTCAAGATCCTGTCCGCCACGCAGCGGGTGCCCCTGCGGGTTGTAGTGTAATGCTTGTTCATCGTGCGTTTTGGGGGGGCCTTGTGTCATGGCTTGAGATGGGTGGGTGGGGTTGTTGAGGCGTTGCTGGGGAGGGGGGGGGGGGGGGGGGGGGGGGGGGGGCGTTCGCTGTGATGGATCTGCACTTTGCGTGACACACTGCATCGTCCGCATGCGTGTTGGCCACGGCAGCTGCGCTGCGAGATGGAGGGTAGCTCATTCATCCGCACTTCGGGGCATGGTGCCACCATTTGTCTAACACATCGTGGACTTGTGCTCGTACTGCAGTGCTTAGGCGGAGGGGCAGGAGGGGGGAGGGGTAGGAGGGGGGCGAGGCAGTAGAGAGGAGAGAGGATGGAGGACGGAGGAGGGATGAGCCGCTCCGCCCAGCGCCCGCCCGAAAGGTGTTCAAGAACGCGGGGAAGCCGAAGCACATCGTGGACGTCGCGCTGCTTTCCTGTCCTCGGTTGGGGGCGCCCTGGGGCGCATGCGCTCTTTTGCCAGGCGCTCGCATTTTTGCTGCGTTGAGCGCCTCCTGGTTTGGGGGAGGGGGAGGAGGAGTGCAAGGGGGATCGGGGGATGACGGGAGCAAGGGAACGGAGGAGGAGAACGAAGGGGGGAGTGGAGGAGGAGAACGGAGGAGGATCATGAATGGGGTGCAGAGTAGAAGCAGTGCTTAGGCGGAGGGGCAGGAGGGGGGAGGGGTAGGAGGGGGGCGAGGCAGTAGAGAGGAGAGAGGATGGAGGACGGAGGAGGGATGAGCCGCTCCGCCCAGCGCCCGCCCGAAAGGTGTTCAAGAACGCGGGGAAGCCGAAGCACATCGTGGACGTCGCGCTGCTTTCCTGTCCTCGGTTGGGGGCGCCCTGGGGCGCATGCGCTCTTTTGCCAGGCGCTCGCATTTTTGCTGCGTTGAGCGCCTCCTGGTTTGGGGGAGGGGGAGGAGGAGTGCAAGGGGGATCGGGGGATGACGGGAGCAAGGGAACGGAGGAGGAGAACGAAGGGGGGAGTGGAGGAGGAGAACGGAGGAGGATCATGAATGGGGTGCAGAGTAGAAGATGCCTGTGCGTACGCGCGTGGCTCTGGGGCCGTTGAACTCCTAAGGCTCTATCTGCTGTCGCAGGTCGCTTAGGCATTGGGGCTCTCGAGCGTGATCGGCCCCGAGGGGTGAAGTTAGGCTGGGCCCTGGGCTACCCGAAGTGGCCCTGGGGACCTTCGCACGTGATTCGCGCGCGTTCGGGGTTTCTGCTTCAAACAATGGGCCTCCAGATGGCCTGCCGATCTTGAAGGCCGTCAGCGACGACCGCCTCGCCGCGATGTGCGAGTCCTTTGTGGAGAAGAAGGAAACCAGCGATCCCAGACGAGCGGCTGCGCAACAGAAGGCATTGGCAAAATTACAGAAAAAAGTAGCCGCCCATGTACAGAAAGTGAACAAGCAAAAGAAACGTGACGCCAAGAAGCAAGCACAGGTCGCCCTCTTGAGCCAGCAGAAGGGGAAAGTGAAAACACCGACAAAAACGAAAAAAGGGCCCCAGCTTAAGCCAGCACGTATGCCGCTCGCCCTAGTTGAAAATGAGAATATTGGCAAGTGTGCAGACTACTTTGACCACGTCGCCCATGCGATTGAGTACTTCCGCAAGATCAACCCTAACCTGACAGATCTGTTCAGTGCATTCGAGCAGATTGCCTTGTTCATGGGCGCTAGCGGGCCTTCAGGGGTAGATGCATGCAAGAGTGGCCTGAGGAAGGGAAGGGGGGAAGAGGGGGCGGAGGAGAAGGAGGATAAGAGGGCGGAGGAAGATGAGAAATGAGGATGCGGAAGACGAGGAGGATGAGGGAGGATTAGGAGGAGGAGGGGGATGATGATGAGAAGCAGGAGGGGGCGAAGGATGATGATGAGAAGCAGGAGGAGGATGAGGAAGATGAGGATCCTCCTCAACCTTCGTGTTTGTCGTCCTTCTCCTCGTCCTCCTTTCTCTCTTCCTCCTCCTCATCCTCGTCGTCGTCGTCCTCCTCCCTTTCTCCTCCTCCTCCTCCTCCTCCTCCTCCTCCCCCCCTCCTCCTGCTCCCAGGAGAACTGGGTTAGGTCCGCCCTGGAGGGCCAATGGATCCAGATTGCCAGACTGCTCGCTACCATACCCAAGCTACCCGATTAGGCCCAGAGCGCCCGACTACCGAACACCTTTCCCCGCCCCGCACTATTGGACTACCGAGACCAGGACCCAGACCCAGGACCGCTGGGCCCAGACTACCAGACTACCAGACCCAGTCTACCTCACCCTCCCCAAACTACTGGGCCCAGGCTACTGGATCAGGTCGGCCCTGGAGGACTCCTGGAGTAGGACCCGCGGCCCCAGTCTGTTTCCCTCCCCATCCATCCTTTCCCCTCGGCTTTGCTGCGCCCTCGCTTGCTTCTTGCTTTCCGCTTGAGCGGGGGTAGAAGGGAGGCAGACATCTATTACGTTGACTTCGAAGGGTGGCACGAAAAGTATCAAGGGGTGGGCGGCCTTGAAGCTGGCGTTCAAGAGCTATGTGTACGCGACGTCGTCTTTGAAGCCCAGGTTCGGCGCCCACCTTTGCCTGGGGGGTCGCCGCAGTCTGGAAGGATAGGGGGGGGGTGGGGCACCTCGGCGAGAAACGACGGGGCAGTAGTAGTAGGAGAGGAGTGCGGAGAAGGAGAAGAAAGGATGAGAAAGGAGGATGAGGGGGAGGTGGAGGAGGATGAGGACTCGAGAGCGATAATGAGGGGAAGGGAATGATCATGATAATGGTGATGATGCTAACGAGGAGGATGAGGATGCCAAGGCTGTGGCTATATGTGTAGAAGGTCTGATGCGGGAGAAGATGTTTTGTTGAGTAGGGCGCTCGCGGGCCCTGCAGCGCGAGCGCCTGCCCCTCCCGCAGGCCGTCGGATCCAGACGCATACGAGGTGCTGAACCTGCGCTCGTCCATGGAGGTTGAGGAGCAGCCCAGAATGACGGCGGAGGAGGCCATGTCTGAGGTGAACCACATGTCGGAGGCCGCAGCCAGTTTGCTTGAGGCTGCCAAGAATAGCTCCTTCTTCAAAGTACCATTGCAGGTGGGAGTGGGCGGTCCTGCCTTGGAGGAGGAGGAGGGGGAGGGGGGCGGGAGGAGGAGGAGGAGGAGGACGGCCAGGAGAAGGATAGGGGTGACGAGGAGCCACAGGAGTAGGCGGGAGGATAAGAGACGAGGAGGAGGAGGAGGAGGGGGAGGAGGGGGAGGGCATTTGCCTTGGGACGGGAGGCCCAATCTATTGTTGCTGAAGCCGCCAACGACATGCTCAAGAGCTTGACTATGATAACCCTGGGCAACGGTGGAATGTGGAGTTCGTTGGCGGCTGCCCAGTCTGCCTTCCATGATGAAAGCATTGCCCGCGTCAATCACATTATGCCCTCAGAGTGGAATGCAGTAGTGGAGTGCAGTGAAAGGCTGGCGTTCCACAACATGGCGGAACATTGCAAGGGCACGCCATTCGAGATGATATTGGCAGCAAGGTGTGATCGGAAGTACTTGTTCGTGGCCCGTTTGAATATATTGTTGTATCTTGGCTCCAGCATCGGCAAGATGATGACGTGCGCAATGGAAGGTGATAAGCCAGTTCCTGCTATGTATGTCAGCGAGTATAAGGCGCCACATTGTCCGCCGATCACTTAACACGCGCGTTGTGTAGTGTATGCAGCATGTGAGCGGCGTTGCTGATTATGTGTGAGTAGGGTAATGCATAATCAGTAGAGTGCAACCGACGTGGCCTCGCCTTTCCCTTATGACATGACCTCGGGCTACTGGTCATAGTGGCGACCCTCTCTCGTGGCGATCCCCTGGCATCCCCTTCCCCGGCCACCCCCTGCGTCGCCAGAGCAGCGGTGGCACGTTGCTTTTTCCCAGGTGTTTCTAGACGTGATCTTGGAACCATAGTGGCGCATCGGGCTTTGCTCAGCATCTCATGTGCGAAGGGCTGCCTCGGGCCCGAACTGCACCTCCTATTGGGTTAGTCGTTGCGTCGTTTGTGCCATCGCCTTCCTGTGCCGCCCCTGGCTTGCCCCCCCTCGCAGCAACGGGTCTACGGTGACTTGCAGGGCTTGTTGAGCCTCGCGCCAGAGATCACCGTGCCAGAGTGGATGCTGCTGAAGACGAAGGCGGGGTGAGTAGCATCGCATTGGGATGGTGGGAGGGCGTGGCACGCGTGCAATGCGACGCGCCCTGGGGCCCACGCCACATCCACGCGCCGCTTGTCAGTGGAGAGAATTCCAAGCCTTTCGCGCGTGACCGCTCATTGTTGCTCTTGGCGCCCTGTCGTTATCGTGTGGCCGCTCTCTCATGTGATGCCCTCTCCTTGCCTATATGTATTCGGCGAGCTTCCGCTTCTGGCCGTTAACGTTGGAACGGTCCTGTCGAAGCCTTGCTGTTGCATGGGGGGAATGCCTCTTGGTGCCCGCCCGCGCGCCGCAGGGCCCAGACCAGTCCGGCCTTGACGAGGTGCACCTCTTCAACGAGATCTTCTCTATGCTGAGTGGTATGGAGGCCGACTTGACGGCTGCCGACCCGACGGGCTTCAAGCGCGAGCTGGAAGAGTTGACCAAGAAGTTCTTGGAGTCCCACAGCGCTGACCAGTGCCAAGCGGTCAGAGGGAGGGTTGTGATGGGAGGGGTGATGTCTTAGCCTCCGATGTTTGACAACGCGTCGTTGAGCAGGAACTTGAATGATGTGAGTTGGGGCGGTTGTTTGACTCAGTGCATTGCGCGTGTCCCTGGCCCCACTTGGTCGGCTTGTCATAGTTGCCATGCCTTGTCGTCGAATGCATCCAGTCACTTGTCCTACCAGGGCGCGGGGGCAGGTCGCTGATGCAGCTGGCCTGGAGAGGATGAAATTCAGTCCCGAAGTCGGCCTCTTCCGCGCGAAGCGGCAGCAGCAGATCTCGGAGGCTCTCGGGATCTGGCGCTCCTCGAGGTCTCGGGACGAGGCTGCGGTGGAGCTCCAGGAGAACCCCGTGAAAGTCCTGGAGCAGAAGTTTACGGCGGCCTTTGCTCCGCCCAAGGAAGTGGGGGGGCACTCTCTGACAGTTCATTGTGGTGGATCCCCTCTCTCCCTTCTCTCCTAAATCCTGGCCTTTAGAGTTGCTCGCGAGTCCGTGGTGCTTGCGAAATGTCTGTCTTGCCGTTCGTGTCGCCTGCATCCTTCCAGCCCAGGGCCTTCCCGAGCTTCGGCTGCCTTGGCAACGGGCGCAGCCCCGCTCGGAAAGCACCAGCCTTGAGTTGGCGAGTAAGCGTGTAGATCAACAACCCTAGGGCTAGCGATACGAGCGAGGGCGAGCGGTTCGCCTCGGGCGCGGGCAGGAGCCCGACGCCGACGCGGCCGTGCAGGGCGCCCAGCAGAAGGAGGAGGACAACAACATTATGGCCATCAACGTCTGCGCCTTTCGGAAGAAGATCATCGATGACGAGTGTGACGTGGACGAGTACATGATGTCGGTTTCCCATACGAAGCAGGCGGGATGTAGGGATTGGTTGAGCCTGGGCCAGCAGCCATCAGCACTGATGAGGAGAGGAGGAGGAGGAGGACGAGGAGGTGAGGAGGGAAGAGGGTGACAGGAAGAGGCGCGTGAGGGGGCACACAACAGACATAGAGATCGGGCGAACGAAACCCGCACCTGTGAACAGACAGAACAGGGGGATGAGGTCGCGGTGAGCATTCATGTATGCATACATACAGACTTACGCGCGCGCACACCTGATTAATGAGATCTGTTTGCATCGACGCCATGAGCATGCGCACGCATTGGTATATGCCTTTGTGTCTAGGCGTCTGTGTCCTACGGTTTGATGGGTGGAAGCATGTTTCCATTCGCGAACGTTGCGACGTCACAAGGTGGGGCGGGCGGGGGGTAAGGGGCCCGCCTCTCATGTCTGGGGCGAACCGCGGCCCAAGGTAAAGGACCCGCTGCTTCAACCGAAAAAGGAGGAGGAGGCGGAGGAGGAGGCTGAGGAGGATGATGAGGCCTCCTCCCCCCTGGGCCCCTGCCCCGCCCCCCCGCGGCAGTGCGGAAGGCAAAAGGGCAGGGCAGGTGATGGACATGCTGGCAGTCGAGCTTCGTGGCCCGCTCTGGAGGGCGCCTGAGATAGGGATTGGATGAGGAGGGGCACGTAGGAGCGGAGGACGGCCTCGGGCCCTGAGGAGCCTGAGGAGGGCCATAGGAAACATATGAGGAACTGGGTGGTAGGAGGAGGTGGAAGAGCGAGGACAACACGACAACGAGAAGACGGGGTATAAGGAGCAAGCGGAGGGGGATAGGCTAGGATGACGAGGGGGGGAAGAGGACGACGAGGATGAGGGGGGGGGAGCGGGGGATGAGGAGGAGCACGAGGAGGAGGATGAGGAGAAGGGGGAGGCGGATAAGGAGAGGGGGAGTCTGGGGAGAAGGGTGGAAGATGATGGGCATGAGGTGGGCGAGGGGGAGGAGCCCGAGGAGAAGGATGAGTGGTGCGACCGACGATGGCGAGATCGCCGTCGTCATTGGTTCACTCCTGCTTCCTCCTTCCACCTTCTCTCCTCCTTCCTCCTCCCCTTCTCCTTCTCCTCTCCCTCTTCCCTCTGGTGTCTACTCGCGCCCCATGCTCTCACCCCTTTGCCCGTGCTTATTATTCTAACTAGCGGTGGTCACTCGGCGATTCGGCGATGGTCCATTCCTCCTCTGCGCACGCCCCCACTTCCTCCTTCTCACCTTTCTCCTCCTCCCAACGCATCTACCTCGGTGATCTCCTCTTGCTCCTTCTCCTCCTCCTGCTCCTCCTTCCTCCTCCTTCTCCAGACCCTCATAAAATGCGGGTCCGGGGGGCCTCGCGTCGGGGCTATCAGAGGGGAGGTCTACATGAGATGGCGATGGCCACGATGTCCAATGGCAAGACGACGCTGGCCATCACTGAGTCCAAAAACGTGGACGGAAAGAAAGCCTACACGGCGACGAGGATCGCCAGTGTCGGGGCAGACCCCAGCCCCCATTGCTGTCGTCGTCGCATTCGCAGTCGTAATCGTCGTCGGTCGTAGCGCCTTGTCCTGCTCGTACGTCGAGTCGTGGTCGTCGTACTTCGCCCACGGCGTCGTAGTCGTAGGTCGCCGCCGCGCCGTAGGCACTGGGCCGTAGTTGTCAGTCGTAGTCGTAGGTCGTTGGACGTGTTGTCGTCGAAGTCGTAGGTCGTGGGTCGTAGGTCGTACTCGTGCTCGTTAGTTGTCGGTCGTCGGTCGGGCACACCTCTCAGTCGTAGGTCGTGCTCTCTCGTCGGTCGCCAGTGTCGGGGGTGCAAGTCATGTCATCTTATGTTGTGCCATATGGGCTTCGGTTCCAACTGGCATGCTGCGAGCGCGGAATTTGGGTACGTTCATCGTTGCTTGCCGTGTTGCGTTTCCGTCATGTGTTCCGTGTAGTGGTATCCACTGTAGTGGTCTTTTGCACGTGGTTCTTGTTTCTTGGGTCGTCTTCCTTTTCGTTCCTCGCTCTCTCCCACCCCTTTCTTTCACTATCCCATGGTTTGTATATATATATATACATATGTGTATATGTGTGTGCATATGTATTTAAATATGACCACTGCCGCCCCGCTTCCGTCGGTCCCCAGGATTATGGTTCCTGGCGCTGGGCGCCTCGAGCTGCCGTACTTCGGCAGGATTGTTGACGAGGCCACGGCAAGCAACCTGAACCACAGCTTTCTCATGGAGGTCAGGCCCTGCCGCCCCCCAGATGCTGATGATGATGATGATGAGCTCGACCGTCTCACAGAGGAGCTCTTCGAGCCTCTGGAGCCGAAGCCAGGCCCGAAGGCTGCTCGGGCTGCGGCGGATGAGGGCAATGTGACAATGAGGATGAGGAGGGGCCAAGTGGGGGGCAGAGGCTCAGGAGGAGGTAGATAAGACGGCAGAGGGCGGGAGCGAAGGAGGGTCAGGGATAGGGAGGTCCGTGCTCGAGTCGAGGAGGTGAGGACGGACGACAACCCGAAGGTGAAGGTGCCCTCAGTGAAGGGGGGGGGAGGCGGAGCGCGAGATGGAACAGGAAGAGGATGGATAAGGGCGATGATGGTGATGATGATGATGATGACGATGATGAGGAGGAGGAGGAGGAGGAGGAGGAGGAGGAGGAGGAGGAGGATGTAGGAGGGGTCGGCGGGGGAGGGGGGGAGGAGAGGAGGAGGAGGAGGGGGGGGGAGGAGGGGGGGGGGGGGGGGAGGAGGAGGAGGAGGAGGAGGAGGATGAGGAGGAGGAGGAGGAGGAGCAGGAGGAGCTGGAGGAAAGGAGGAGCGAGGAAGAGGAGACCACAATGGCGTCGACGGCGGCGGCGACGGGCGGTGACAAGAGCGGGCGGCCGCGCTCCTGCGTCGGCAGCCTGCAGTCGCCCCGCTGCTGGAACGCAGCGCGGGCCTCCCACGGGGGGCAGGGTCAGGAGGAACCAAGGATGGAGGAGGGGGGGCGAGGCGGCGAGGAGGTGGAGAATGAGCAGGAATACGCGTGAACGAGTGAGTAGTAGCGAGGAGGAGCAAGTCGTCCTCGCCTTCGTGCCTTTCCCACCCCTTCCGACCGCTGCCGTTCCTTATGTTTTGTTTCCTGTTTCACTGGCGCTCTGCGGTCCAGCGGGCTACCGCCCCGACGGGCTCCGACGCGCTCGAGGCGGCGAGAAAGACGCGAACGACGAGAGGGGCGAGGGCGCGGTGGAGGACGGGGTGGAGGCGGGGGAGGAGGTAAGCTGAGGAAGAGGAAGGGGGAAGAAGAGGAGGAGGATGAGGGGGGGCAGTAGGAGACGGACGAGGGGGAAGAGGAGGAGGAGGGAGGCGCCGGAGGAGGAGGACGAGGAAATAGCAGGAAGAGTAGGAGCAGGATCGAGTCCGAGGAGGAGGAGGAGAAGGGGCTGGAGGAGGACGAGGAGGTGGAGGAGGCGAAGAAGATCCCCCCACCCCAGCCGTTGCCAAGGCATCGGCTGCGGCGGCCTCGGGCGTCGCCGACGAGAGCGGCGACGGCCAGGATGACCACGACAGCGACCTCGAGAGCACGGACGGGGGGAGGGGCCGTTCGCGGGTGCGCAGGCAGGTTAAGCAGCGGCCAGAGCAGACGTTGCTGTTGTCATTTCAGTTGGGACTGCTAATCGTTATCCAGCTCTCCAGGCCCCCAGGGGCCATTCGGCTGCAATATTGGTTCGGGGTCTGTCTGTAGGCCCGAGATGGGCCTCTCCAGTTCCCGTCTCCTCTTGCCTTGTCCGATCGTCCCGATCGTGGTTCTTGAGCTCGCGCGGTGGGGCAGTGCGACCTGAAGAGATTCTACATTGACGGCAGCCAGTTCGCGAACCCCAGCAAGAGCGACGTATGCTACGCTTGGCTGGTCCAGCCGAAGAAGCAGAAAGCAACTGCGGATGACGATGACAGCGAGGAGATTGGGGCTGTGGTCAGCGCGAAACAGGGAGCACTGTAGAGCGGAGGCTTTTGGCTGGGGATTTTCTGGCTGCGGGACAAAGACAGAGATATAGAGAGAGATAGAGAGAGAGAGAGAGAGAGAGAGAGAGAGAGAGAGAGAGAGAGAGAGAGAGAGAGAGAGAAAAAAAAAAGAGAGAGCGATAGAGAGAGAGGGAGAGAGATGACGCCAAGCCAAGTTTGCAGGGGGTTCGACGGCTGGACGGCGACGCCGCTGGTCGGGCCGATGGCCCGATGGGGGGCGCATTCCACTGGCATTCCACATGCTTCTTCATCTTCCCCATTCTTCCATATTCTACTTCTCCTTCTCCTCTCCTTCTCCTGCTTCTCCTCGTCGTCGTCATCCTCCTCCTAAACCTCCTCGGACCTCTTCCTCAGGCTCCTCCACGCCCTCTTCTCGTCCTTCTCTTCGGCCAGTGCGCTCTCCTCTCCGACTCTCCCTCCTCCTCCTCCTCCTCCTCCTCCTCCTCCTCCTTATCCAGATCTACATCTCCCTCCCGTTCGTGTCCTCCCAGCTCGGCATCATCCCCGCACCGTATTTCACTGAGTTCGTCTTGTCTTCTTTCTGTCAACATGCTTACCCGATAACTCCTTCTTCCCATGCCGCGTTCGCCCCCGCATCGGGGAGGATAGGGCAGGATTCTGCTGAGAAGAAGAAGGCGAAAAAGGTGAAGAAGGTGAGCGACAAGGAGGCGATCTACAGGGCTGCCGCTGACACGCACGAGGTGGTCTGGAAGCCCTTGAAGATCGAGATTGATCCGAGCTGCGACACTGGCGAGACCGCAACGTGGGAGGGAGGGTGTCTTGTGTCCTGCCCAATCCTGCCCCACCCCTGACTCGTCGCGTCCTCCTATCGTGGGCGTATTCGTGCTGCGCATCCTTGTCCTCTTCCTGCTGCCCCCTACTCCTGTGGCGGTCGCCGCGCGCGCGCCCTGACCTCGTCTTGCCCGCGCCTGGTCGCGCAGCTGGCTCTCCGCGCTCGCCTCAGCGGGGGGATCGGCCCCTCCTTCCAGCGCGGTGCCCGAGGGAGTTTAGTTGGGGCGGGCGCAAAGGGGGAAGGGCAGATACTGGTTCCTGGCGCCTTACTTGGTGGACATCATGCCCCTCATCGACGTTTCCAAGCAGGCGGGCTTGATCTTCCGCCGCCGCATCGACTGGGACAGCAAGGCCCTCGAGAAGAAGAGCAAGACTAAGCGCCCAGGGGATGCGGGCTTTGGCGCGGGCAGCGCGAGCGGCAGCAATGAGGAGGTGGGGAGGCCGACTGAAAAGCAGGAGGAATGAGGAGGAATGAAGCAACATAAGGGGGAGGAAGAGAAGGGTGTGGAAGGTGATGAGGAGGAGAGGGGCGACAGAAGGATGGAGCAAGAACGGGAGGTGGGGCGGGGGGCGAATGGTACAGCCCAGCACAACAAAGAACGGGCCTCTGTGGCCCGCGGGAGGGCCCCCCCCCGACACGGCACGACACCACGCCCCTTTGCCTGGCAAGGCACTTCCCGACACGGCCCGCGGGAGGGCCCCCGACACGGGCACTCAGATCCACGACGGCACTGCCCGACGCGAAGAGCATCGCGTCGCAGTCGCCCCGTCCGGCCGCAGCTCCCTTCCCCCCCACCCTTTATTACCCTCCCCCATCCCTCTTCTCATTCTTCTTATCCCCCTCATCCTCTTTCCTCCTGCTCCTCCTCATCCTCTTCATTCTCCTCCTCGCTCTCGTCTCCCCTCTTTGGTTCCGAAGCGCAGCCTCACGCAGAGGGTCGGATCAGCCGCGCAGTCACGTTGCACCACCGCCCTCGCTGGAGGCTGAAGGGTGACTGCGAGGAGGCATCATATTTATCAGAAGTAAACGTTTGTCATTCTCCTCGTGTTCCTTATCCTCCTTCTTCTTCTCTGGATTCCCACCCTCTTTCTACAGTCGCAGTCCTCCTACGTAGTATTATTATTCTCGTCGTGCTTGGGCCGTGCTGCGCCGTGGCGCGGGTTCTTATCCTGCCCCCCTCCTCCTCCACTGCCATCGCCCTTGTCATTATCATCGTGATCAGTTTCAATGCCATGTTACCCGCCCCCTTCATTCATATATTTGTACTCCTTCTGCCCCAGGGCGTTCCGTGGCCGCCGCCCTGGTGTCCGTAGCTATTTGGTTTCTCAGTGGTTCAGGGTCTCTCGGCATGTCCTCGCTCGGCACCGCGCGTGATCGTGCTGGCCCCCTTCCGGACAAGGCGGACCGCGCTGCGTTCTTCGGCCCTCCAACTCCAGAGGCCGAGCCTGCCGAGCCTCCAAAGAAACGTGACTGTCATGACTGTTGTTGGGAATACGATAGCGTGTTCATGAAACCTTGGGTTCCATTCAAGTGCCCGCGGACGCGGCTCCTCATCTGCCCGCGCAACACTTGGCTCCCCTCCAAGAAGTTCAAGGCTGCCCCTCGTGACGATGCCACCGCTGCAGGGCCCATCGACCCAGACGTGAGCCTCGTCAGAATCACGATCACAATCGATTGATCGCTGGGAGTTGCTATGACGTAGCTCGCTCTGCTGGGCCCATCCTTTTTCGATTCGATGCTGGCGCGAGGGCGCGCTTGCAAGCAAAACGGGGATGAGGAAGTTGAGGGGGCCATGCACAACGAGGAGAAGGAGGCAGTGGAGGAGGAGGGTGGAAGAGGAGCACGAGGTGGAGGAGGAGGTTGAGGAGAAGGAGAGAAGGAGGTGGAGGAGGAGCACGAGGGGAGACTACGAGAGTGGAGGAGGTGGGCAGCGACACTAGTCCAGGAGGTGGAGGTGGACAAGGTGGACAACGACACTAGGTTGAGGTGAAGGAGGTGGAGGAGGTGGAGGAGCACGATGTGGAGGAGGAGCACGGCAGTGACACTAGTCCAGCAGTGCTGCGCCTCTCTTCGCAGCACTGGGCGCTGGGAGGTCAGCCAGCGCGTCCTGGATCCACAAGTGAGCTAGTACCGCGTGCAGTCTCCCCTCTGTGCGTCTGTGCGTTCACCGTGTTCGCGGTGCGCGCGCGAGTGCGTGTCGTGCGCGCGACGAATCGTGATTGTTACGGCGCACGTGCGCACGTGTTCGTCATCATCCTCCTCCATGTCCTCATCCTTCTTCTTCTTCAGTGCGCAGCGTGCCAGTGCAGTGCAAATGTCTAGGGCACTCACTCTTAGCCCTTCCACCCCACCCCCCCCACCCACGCTGCGGCGGCGCGCCTCCATCCTGCCTCCTCTGTGCCGCGTCGGGCCGGGCGGGCTCGGGGCCCGCGGCCCGCGGGGCCGCCGCCCGTCCTCTGTCGGGCCGGGGTTGAGCCGAGCGGCGGCGGCCAACAAGTCAGATGGAATGGAGAGGGGTGGTGGTGATGCTGAGAATGATGCCGACGTTTACGACGACAATGATGACGATGACGACGCGTACTATGATGATGATGATGATGATGATGATGATGATGATGATGTTGATGATGCGGATGATGATGGCGATGCTCGTGATGATGATGATGATGATGAGGAGGATGATGAGGATGATGCTGATTGCGGCGGTGACGCCCATGGATATCCGGATGATGACGATGACGATGACGGGCGCTTCAAATAATGCGAAGGAGGCGAAAGAGGCGAAGAAGGCGAAGGAGTAGGAGGAGGAGGAGAGGAGGCGAAGGAGGCCAAGGAGGAGGCGGAGGAGAAGACGAAAGAGTGACGATAACACTACACATATCCCACCTATTGCCACAGACATGGTATGAGAGAGCAGTGTGATACGATATACGAACAATGACGCCTCCGACAGACAGCACTCGCATACAGAGATAGTAAGGGATACCCAGATATAGAGATAGGGGGGGAGAGAAAGAGACAGAGAGAGAGAAAGAGAGAGAGACAGACACGGTCAGACAAACAGACAGACAGACAGACAGAGAGTTGGAGAGTCGGGCCGCCGCTCGCTCCCGTCGCTCCCGCCCCCCGTGCCCGGCCCGTGCCCGTGCCGCCGCGTCGCCAGCCCATCAGTGCGCAGCGACTGTCAGTCGCTGCGCGTGTTCAATGAACATTTCGAGTCCTCGAAGTGACTCGAGGTCTGAGTGCTGCCTCAGAAACAAGCTTCCCGTCCCCTTCTGAGCCCCCCTCCCCCTCGTCGTCGCCCTCCTCCTCGTCCGTCTCGCGCGCCCTCGCTTCCCTCTTTTTCCGAGGGTCCGATCGTTCGGATTCGCTCGCCGACTCGCCGTCCCTCGGGCAGCTCGGGGCTACGGCGGCAGCTCGGACGGCGAGGACGTCGCGACGTCGCTCTTTCCTCCCCCGCCCGCCCCCCCCCTCCCTCTCCGCCTCGCGCCCGCCCGTTCCCTTCCCGCCAGGTGGCGATGAAGGAAAGGACGAGAACGAGGAGGAGGTGGCGGAGGAGGAGGAAAAGGAGGAGGTGGAGGAGGAAGCTGAGGAAGGAGGGGAAGAGGAGGGGGGGGGAAAGGGAGGAGGGGGGAGGAGGACGAGGAGGGGGGGTTAAATGTGGTGAGGGTGTGGTTTACCGAGCAGGATTGGGTAGACAGATCCAAGCACACTCAAACATACCCAGGCCGCGGCCCGCCGCGCGCGGCCAAGGCCGCTGCCTTAGCGGGCCCTCCTGCTCTTGTCCAGCTTCGAAGTGTTCGGAGCAGCCCTGCGTCGCCGCCGGCCTGCGTGGAGGGGTGCCTGGCAGGATCTCAGGATGCCCATCAGGAAATTTCTGGGCGCTCGAGTGCGTTGGTGGCCGGGTGCGTCGGGCTGCGAGCTGCGAGGTCGGACCTGAGGACATAAGTAAGTACTCCATGGTGGCCGAGGGTGGGTCGTGCCAGAGCTGGAAAGCACGGCTCCTGGGCGGAGTCGACAAGGGCGTTGGGCGCGCCCGCGCCCGGGCCAGGGCTCCGAAACCACGGTCTCCGAACGCAGCCCTGTCCGCCCAGGGGGCCGTTCTTGCTGGCCCGATATCCTCGCGAGGTGCAGAAGGCGCGAGGTTCGCGCCCCTCTGGCAGGCCGGTCGCGCCCCTGAGGCCATGGGGGTCCGGGCTACGCTCGGCATCTGGAGTTGCCTAGTCCGCAGCGCAGTAGAGAGGTTTCAGAATCGTGGAAGCTGGCGTCGGCGACGTCGGTGGATGGCCCCCGTCGCATGAAACGCGCTGCCAGTCTGCCAGGTGGGGCCCTCGTTGCCACGATGGCCCGCGCGAGCCCCTTTTCCCCTCCTCGCCCCTCGACCATGGGGGAACGGTTCCGGCGCCGATGCTGGCGAAGCCGGCGGAAGGATGGGCGCCGGTAGATTTTTTTCAGCAGATTCTGCGGACTCGGGGGGGCAGCTCAGGAGGCCAGCGGCGCCATCTTGGGGCCCTTCTTCGATCGCGCATTTCGCGGCGGGGCATTTGTTTGAGAGAAGGCCCCAGGAAATCGCATTCCGTGGAACTTGCTTGCCGGCTTCGCCGCGGGCCGGCGGGCGGCGCGCCTGCAATGTCAGCGGCTCAAATCGTCGGTGCCGCGGCGTGTGCTTCGCTACCTGCCAGCAACTCATCGCGCATCAAGTTGCGCTACGCGTTATTCGTTCCATTTTAGCCTCGGGGGGCACTTTAGATCAAGGCCCCGGCGGTTGTTGTCTGTCTGGTGGGACATGATATACCCGACATCATCGCCCGCGGGCCTGCGCTGATGGACTTCGCCAATTTTGCGGTGGTCAGATGACGCGGGTGCTCCAGATGCCATGGGCATTTCGATGTGGATTCCGCGACGCAGCAGCTTTTGGTCGGCGTCGCCCCAACGCATTTATCTAACGTGCGCGCCGCCCCCCCCCAGGGGCCGCGCGCGCGCCGAGGAATATTGTAGCGTGCGCGTCGTGGCGGGCGCTGTCTGGTCACGCCGCTCGGGAAACGATATAGTGCAAGATGGCATGCTACGCGCGCGGGTCGGGCGCGCGCCTCCGAGGAGGACATCATTCGCATGTCGGTGCGTCCCATTTGACTTTGCTTTTGGGCAGAGCGCGCATTTTCGGCGAGAGTGCCCCCTTTTTCCTTTTCTCGCCCTGGCCGCCCGCGCCGGGCAGATCGCGTCGGCAGTCCTTCTCGGCGAGCAGCGGCAGCTTTCAACCAATTCACGTTCGCGCTGGCGCCCAGGGCGACGTCGAGAGCGCAGCGGGCCTCGCGGAGGTCAAATCGTGGAGGGCATGCCAGGGGCAGGCGTGGGGCGCGGGGGCGCGCCTGGCGCTGCGGTCCGCTCCGCGCGCGCGCCAAGTGCACGCCGCCCCCATTCGGCGCCTTCCTGTCCCCGGAAGACGGTCGGCCGGCCCTGTCGACGCGGCGGCAGATGCTTTGCTTTGCAGCGAGGTCGAGAGGGGCGAGGAGAGACGCGAGGCCCGCGCCCTGGGGCTCGGCGGCGCATTGAAGTGCACGGGGGCCACGGGGGGCGCCCCGCCAGACGCGCCAAGGCAGCGAATCCTGGCGGTTGCTGGCCTTCGCCGCGAGATCCTAGGGGCGCGCGACGAGTGCGTCGACCAGACATGCCAATTGGTGTCGGGCTGCAACGCGGGGGGGTCTTCCAGGAGGGAATGAAGACGGTGATGTTCGCGATCAGGGGCGCGACCTGTCGGCGCGAGGCGATCGTGGCGAGCGGGGGTCGGCGCTCAGAACGCGACCCATGGCGCGGCTGTTCGACATTCTTGGCCAGGTAGATTCGTCCGTCGCTTCAGGTGCCGTGTAGTCGCCGCTTCGCTGGCCGCCTGTCGCGCGCTTCCACGCGCGCCGCAATTCGAGGCAGCCGCGAGCCGTGACAGGGCGCGGGGTGTGGCGCAGCAGTGGCGTGCAGAGCAGCGGGGGTGGAGCGTGTTTGGGGCACTGCGCAGCATCTGTGGCATCGCAAGTGCCACCCTAGCCGCCCGCGGGGGGCCTGGGGGGTCTGTTTTGAATGGTTTTTGCTGCCTGATTGGTAGGGTCCTCTTAGCCGCGGGGGGCCTAGATTGTCAATAATTTTGAGTGACTTGGTTCGCTTGATTGGCGGGTTCCTTGAACGGCGGGGGCCGAGAAGGACCATTTTGGGTGCGTGGGTTTCGTCGGGTTCTCGTGGGGCTTTGTTGCGGCTAGTGTGTCCATCTGTAGTTATTTTCTCGCCTGCCTTTTCGGTGTTTCGGTTTTCGCCGCCTCTTCGTTTATCTTCGTCTCGTGTTTTTCTTCGCTCGTCACAGTTCTCACTGCGCCCTGGGATCAATTCGGGATTGTCGCGCGCGGCCCCCTCGCTCGTCGGATATCGCAAGGGGCGCGCCTTAGAGTTGGTGCGATTCTGTAGCCTTTTGGCACGCACCTGGCTTGACCTGGCTCGCCGCTCCCGGATTTTGCGGTATTCAGTTTTTGGTTCCGCGCAGTGACGGTTTTGATGCGTATGAGTTGTTGGCGCGATTTTTGTTATTCCTTCTGCTCCTTCCCTCCCTCGTGCTCTTGCGCAGTGGCCATGTCTTACCCCGCTTCCTTTTCGCCCTCCTGCTTTCTTGCCTCTCCTTCTCTTCCTCGTTGTCGTCCTTGCTTACGTCCTGCGTCTCTCCCCCGACCCCCATCTCCCCCACCCCCGCCCAATACGCCCCCCGGTCTGCCTCCTTTTCCGACCCTCCAATTTTTTTCGACCTCCTCCCATCCCCTCGCCCCTCTTCCCCTTCCCAGTCCCCCTTCTACCGCATCTCTGCCCCCTCCTCGCCCCATCCCGCCTGCGCGGCCCTCTTCGCCCCCCTCGCGAGGAGGATAAGTCGGCCGCATGCGAGACCGAGACGGGCACCGGGGCCGGGCCCAGCCGGGCCGGGCCCGGGACTCCGCGGCACGTGCCGACCACGCCCCGCGGCGTGGTGGCGCCGCGCGCCCCGTGCGTCGTCGAGGGCAGCGCGCCGTCCACGCCCCGCTTCGTGGTGTCACCGTGCACTCTGCGGAACGTCGAGGACTGCTCCCCGCACGTCGACCACGAGGACAGAACTCGGCGCTTAAGTCGGGCCTGTCTTTTTACAGGAAGAATATTCAAAACTAGTACCAAAATACTTTGGGGATTTTTAAATCTATTATTTGTGAGTCGTTGTTCAACCATGTTCAATTTTTCCAGAATTTCGGCTGTAGGGGAACACGCCCGATCAAACTCTGGGCGTGGGCAGCTCAATGACCGTCCGACAGGCGCGACCGGCACCACCCCTAACAGTGGTCGCGCCGTGGACAGATTACGACGGGAAGTTTTTGACGTGTTCGGCACCCGGGGACTCTCGCCAGGCCCTGGGACCGGACCGTCAAACAACGATCTGGGAAGAACAAAAATGACCTGGGATAGGGTGGGGCTCCGGGGGCCCCTGTGAAAAATCAAGGCATCGTACGTCCCGGATGTCTGGGCCGCTCACCCCCGTGGATCTGGGGGCCTTGGGCCCCCACGCGGTTTCAAGGGGGCATCCCAACCCACTGGATCGTCCGTGGCGTTGGGCTTGGTGGGTCGGGCAGTTGATCGCGGCGGGGCGGAGGGGGAGCGGGCAAGGTAAGGAGGAGGGGAGGACACGGGAGGGTGTGGGCTCCTCCCCTTCTCGCCCTCCCCCGCTCCCCTCCTCCTGCGCCTCGTGTGCCTCTTCCGCCTCCCCCGCAGTCCCTGTTCCTTATGGGTATTTTCTACTTGTAATTACCCGAGACATCACCAGACGTGTCGTGAGGGCGGGCTGGGTGTTTCACCTTAGACTTCCTCAGTGTTTGATCTCGAAGATCGGATTTTTAGAGTAGTAGGGATGGAGCACAGGCCGTTTTCAAAAAGAGTGTATATCCCAGGCGCCGCGCACATTCGTCTTAACAATTGCGACAGTTACGCGGATGGAGGGGGACTCGTTTTCAAAATGGAGCTCTCGCCGTGGCGCCGCGAACAGCCATTGTACAACACTTGCCGCAGCGACGCAGATGGAGGGCATGTCATTGTCAGAATTGTGCTCTCGCTCTGGCGCCGCGCACATTTGTTTTGAACCAATGCGACAGTTACGCGGATGTATCGCGGTTCGTTTTCAACATCGGGTTCCCGCTTGATATTGCCTCTAAATAATGTATGCCCCGAAATTCAAAATTGTGCAGCAGATACACCGGTGGAGGGTGGCTCGTCTTTTTAAATTGGGATATCTTGTGAGACTTCTCAGAGCCGGAATGTGGAAATTGTGCACCGCTGACACGGATGGAATGCATACTTGTTCCAACGGAGTTATCGCAGGACACTTCCACATGAATGTTTTGATCTTGCTTATTCTTATTGCTGCAAGGATGGAAGGTGCTCCCTTTACACAACGGGCTCTCGTCTTCATGCCAGGCCCACGGAGCGATCGTCAGTCAAGGGGGGCGCTTCCCGCAGTGGGGGGAACATACAAACCTTGTAGGGACTCATGTGGAGGGGACTTGCTCACTCTGTTCCTCCCCCTCCCCCTCCTCCTCCTTCTCCTCCTCCTCCCTCTACTCCTCCTCCTCCTCCTCCTCCTCCTCATCCTCATCCTCATCCTCATCCTCATCCTCATCATCATCCTCATCCTCCCCCTCCTCCCCCTCCCCCTCCTCCTCACGCGCGTGGGTACGCGTGCTCGAGGACGGGTGCCAGAGGCGGGAGGGGGGTCGCGGAGAGAGGTTCGGAGAACCCTGCCCAGAGGCAGAGTGGGCTCTCGCGAGCATCCCATTTCGCACCAGGACAGCTGGAGCGGGAGTCGTCCGTGCTCGCGGTCCCAAGCCCCCCCCCCCAGGGGGAGACAGCTTTCCGCAGCCCCCTTCCGAGGGGGAGTGCGCTGTGGCATCGGCGGCCCTCCCGCGCCCGCGAGGTCTTTGAGCGCGAGCCCAAAGTTTCGCCCCCCAGTCTCCGGCGATCGCGAACATGAATCAATGGGGCGTGGATTAGCGACGGGTCCCGTTTCCATGGGAAATCGCGGGGTTCCGCCACCGAGCGAGGCGGCACCAGCCGCATTTTGGGAAGGGCACTTCCCCCGATCCATGGATCTGGCGACCGCGCGCTAAATCCAAGGATTGCTAATCCATGTTTGCGCGCCTCCGACATTCTTAAGTCGGGCCTGTCCCTCTACAGGTGGAATATTCAACAATAGTCGAAAAATAGTCTGGATACGATTTTTCTATTTCGTTTTGACAATTTCTGCGCCTGTTTGGGGTACTTTTCATTTTTCGTCGAAGCTCGGCCTGTAGGGGGACATGCTCGACCTAACGACAGTGGGGTGGCGCGTCGCCGCGCGACTGGGCAACGCGCTCGCGAGCGGGGCCGTGTCAGCGTGCCAGGGCGCAGCGGGGTCGCGATCGAGGCCGCGCGCCGCGGCGTGTGCGGTGACGTGCCCTTCTTCGCACTGGCGGGGCCGCGCTCGGCGAGGGGTCCTGAGCGAGGCTGAGTTTTCTGATGTTCCAATGTGCTTTAGCCTTGTGGAGGACGATCAATGGAGAGGAAGCATGTTGCCAAATAATTTCCAGATGTCCAGACAATGTGTACAAACTGTTTTAGACATGTGAAAGTATGTTTGAAACATGTCCAGGACATCATTTTCCTTACATTTAAAACACATTTTTAGTTCCATGATAGGTCTGTTAGGGTTTCCATTGTCGTGGCATCCACAACTTCAGCCTTGATCACCAGAAAGAATTTTGAGCACCAAAACGGTACCGAAACTCGAGGTTGTTCACGTGTCGGGCCCTGGGAGACACTCGTCCGACACTCTGTCGACATTTGTTCGATATTTTTCCGGGTGCTCGAAATCATTCCTGGGATGTGGTCCTTAAGTACGATGGGAGCAACATAAGATTGTCTCTCCAGCTTGTATGCAAGCTACCCCCCTTCGCCACTGTTTCTGCCGGAGCATCTCGTTGATGATCAAATCCGCTACCACAGGCCCTTCTGCTGTTCGAGGACCCCCGAGACCGTCAACCAAGAGGGTGAGGGGAGAGGGACAAGGGGGAGCGGGCGGCGGGGGGGAGGACGCGAATGACAACGATCGGAAATTGTGCAAGATCAGAGTGCCCGGATCGGGGCGGTTCTGGATGTTTAGCTCCTTGAACGGCAACGAGGCGTGAGTTGAAGGCGGTGTAGGACTGGGATGAGGCGTGACTGCATCCTCAAGCGCGGTCCAGGAGGGTGTTTGGTTTGTCGGGTCGGAAGGAACACGCGCGAAGTACGGGCCACAGCCTTACAAATCTGCTTGTGGGGTTGGGTGTGCGGTCATGCTGGGCGTGGGCTTGGCATGTCCCAAGACTGCGGGCGAATACGCGCGTCTGAAAGGTATAGTTCTTGCGAGATTGGGACCAGGCTGCTGCAACCACAGACGGGGGGCCAGGGATACTCACAAGACGTGCGTGCTGTCGGCGGATAGAGTTCGATGACGCTGCACGGCAGTTTGCGGGCACCGTTGGGGAGCGCAGCTTCCACGTGGGAGCAAGCGAGGCACCTGGCAGGAGACAGCGCCCGCTTGCGTGGGTTTGTATTCGCTGTAAGTTCGTGACGTTGTTTTTTTGTTTGGCGCGTGTACTAAGCACAGTGAAGGCCCATGCCAAGGCATGCTCTGCGTTCTTCCAGGGTGCCCTGGGTTTCTTGGGCTTCAATGGTTTTTCGATGGAAAGCGTGACGTTTCCTCACCAGGAATCAATCGACGTCCTAGGGTCTCAGGGTTCGTATCTCTTGTGGAAGATTCCCTGTGGGGCCCCAACAGTACCACCAGCTGCAATCTAAGAGTGGCACCAAGTTGCAGGAGGGGAAGCACACCCAGACACAATTAATCGTCGATCCCCAGGAAAATATGGGAAACTATAGGAAGTGGTGGGGAAGACAGAATATAGGGAATCGTGGGATTTGTGTGTATTGTAGTGGCCTTCGGCCAGTGCCGCCGATCCGGGTCGCTCGGTGTTATTCTCCAGACGCAGACATTATGGGCGCACACTCAAACGCACAAACTTCTCGGGTTACCTTCGAAAGGGCGTCGGAATGCAGTTGGGTCAATAGAGCCATCTCGCAACAGTGGTTCTATCAACGGCGGGGTGCTTGCAGTGACCGTGGGGACGGGAAATAATAATGACATGAAAGTTCCATACAGGATGCCGATCACTTTGGAAACTCACGATACGTCGTGCACGGAGTCGTGTTACAAAACATGTGGCCTGCACGATGTGGTGCGAGCGGTGGAGGCGAGCCTATCGGCGCAAGGACGCCCTCTTGGGGCGTTTTTTAAGCCATCTTAGGAGCCTGTCAGGGCGTCGTGGGAGCTTCTTGGGGGCTTTCGGAAGCCCTCTTGGAGGCTCTTGGGGCCTCCTGGGGGCCTCGTGGGCTGGAAGGGTTGATTTTTTTCGCTTTTCGTCCCTCTTTTGGGTCCTCTTGGGGCCGTCTTGGGGGCCTGTTGGGCCGTCTTGGGCGGCTCTTGGGCCGCCTTGGGGCCCTCTTGGGCCGTCTTGGGACTGTCTGGGGGCCTCATGGGCCGTCTTCGAGCGGTCTTGGGGGCCTCTTGGGCCGTCTTGGAGCGTCGGAAAGCCGAAAAAAGCGACAACCCCAAAAAACATTGAAAAAACCAATGGGAATCAACGATTTTTGCCTCTGGGGGCCATCGTGGGAGGCCTCTTGGAGGCCTCTTCAGACGTCGTGGAAGGCTCTTGGGCCGTCTTGGGGCCATCTTGGGCGTGTTCGGGCGATCCTTCGGGGTCTCGGGACTTTCGTAGACCGTCCTCAGAGACTTTTGCGGCCGCGGCCACCCTTCCAGCGCATCCTCGAGATTAGAGCCTTCTGTAAACGCAGCGCCCCGCATCCGCCGGAAACTCGCACCCCCCCCCCCCATCCCCCCTTCCCCGGCAGAGCCACCCCGGCAACCCCCCCAGAGGCTGAGGCTCTGCCTCGAGGCTGTAGCTGAGACTCCTTGAAACTCACACGCCGGATCGGCGGATTTATTTGTGTGTCCCTGGGCCCTTTCCAAGTTGCCCCCTTCGCGCGCGCGCGCGAGACGCGGTGCGCAGGAGAGGGCGCCACGTGCCCGTTCCTCCCTCCCTGCTTCCTTCCTCCTCGCCGCCTCCATCCTCCCCATGCTCCCTCTCTCCTCCTCCTCCGAGGAGGAGGAGGAGGAGGTGGAGGAGGAGGGGGAGGAGGAGGAGGAGGACGAGGAGGAGGAGGAGGAGGAGGAGGAGGAGGAGGAGTCTTTCTTTCTTCCATGCTCCCTCTCGCCTGGATCATTTCGCCCACGCCTCTTGCTTCTAGACGATGTGAGGCCACGGCCTCTCATGCGCCCTGCCCAGACGGGCACGGGCGCACCTGCGTGCCCGACTCTGGCGCCTCCGCTCCGCTCCTCTCTCCTTGTCTTCCTGCGAAGGGTCGAAGTTCTGGGGGTGTGCAGGCGGGCGGTGGGAATGTGGGACCCGTGCAGTTGGAGCCTGCCCCTCGAACGGGCTGCGTGCCAGTACTGGGGTGCAGGTCGGCCAGTGCCGTCCGTGCGGAGTGTGCTGCTTGATCCAGGGATGATGTCCAGGTGGGTGGAGAAGACGCCCGACTCAGGGCTGTCGCTGTCGGAGTGCAGGCCTACCTCGCTGATTTTGACCGCCAGGCTGAGATCGGGACGCGGGTTCAGTCATTCATGCAATCCTCATCCTTTCGGGTATAGCCAGGACCCCAGGTAAGGGGATCCGGTCAGTAGTAGGGCCCCGGTGCCCCTACATTGGCCAGAATGGCTAAACCAGGTCTGCCGTAGCTGGTGTTTTTCGGGTGACGGCAGTTACAGTTAGTGGAACGGGGCGGGGAGGGCGTCCCCCAGTACATGTCACTAAACCAGGTCCCACTAAACCCAGTTCTGCCAACGCCCGATCCTTCTCCCCTCTCCTCTTCCTCCTCCTCCTCCTCCTCCTCCTCCTCCACCTCCTCCTCCTCCTCCTCCTCCTCCTCCTCCTCCTCCTCCTCCTCCTCCTCCTCCTCCTCCTCCTCCTCCTCCCCCCCGGGGGACACCGTCCCTGCGTGCCAGGAAGCGCTGGGGCGCGCGGCCTCTCCAATACTGCTGACGTCGAGGGGCCAGCGCCAGCGGACGCCTCAGACTTGCCGAAAGTCGGGCATGTCCCTCTACAGGAGGACTATTCAAAGGTAGTCAAAAAGTAGGAGGGGGACGAGTTTTCGACTATGTTGGACTATTTTCGATAATTTTTCTAATATGTTCTTAACCTTCGACCAAAATCCGCCTGTAGGAGGACATGCCCGACCTAATCTCCGACTTGCTCTTCCCGCGCGCCCACCCCCCGGCGGGCGCGGCGGGAGAGGGAGAGGAGGAAGGTCGTGCGTGCGGGCTGTTGCTTCCCCTCCTCTCTGCCCATCTGCCCCCCCCCCTCTCCTTCTGCAGCCACTTCCTGTCCCTCCCTCCTTCCTTGCTGTTGCCCTCCTCAGTATCGTTTAACCGACCCCCATCCCCATCCGCATCCCCGTCGAGATCCCCACCAAATGACCACCCCAGTTGGGGAACACCCCTCGAAACCCGAAAGGAACGGCCTACATCCCCATCCAGGGGGGTACATCGGCCAGTGGGGCCCAGGCCACGCCGTTGGGGATGGGGGTCGGATAGACGATGCTCACTCTCCCTTCTCTGCTCTGTCGGCCGCCTCTGCTCCCCGGCCCCCTTTCTTCTGGACGGGGCTCGGATTCGGCGGGGCCTCTTCCGCCCCCTCGTCTATGAGAGGACACGGCCGGCGGGACCTCCCCGCTCTGACGACAGTTTCTGGTGCTGTGCTGCTGCGCGTGTCATCGTCGTCATCGCCATCGTCATCATCGCCATCGTAATCGTCGTCGTCGTCGTCGTCGTCGTCGTCGTCGTCGTCGTCGTCCCCGGCTGGTCGGGCCACTGGTCCGCTCGGCCGGGGCGGCCCGAGGTCCGCGGCGGGCGGTCTCGCCGCCGGCTACCCGGACGGCGGCGCGGGGGCCTCCACGAGCGCGCGCGGCGTCCCCGGCGCCCAGGAGATGCGGCGGGGGGATCTCGGGGGCCCCCAGGCGGGGTGGTGACCACACCGTGTGGTGAGTCGGTGGGGGTTCGGGGTCACCGCACGGTTTTGGGACTCGCGGCGTCCTCCGATGACGTCTCGGGCGACTGGGGCATCCGAGGTCCCAAAACCGTGCGTTGACGGACCGTGCGGTGAGGTCTTTTGGGGTTCCGAGGTCACCGCACAGTCGGTTACCGCACCGTTTCGGGACTCCAAAGGATCGGGTGGGGCCAATCTTGGCAGCGCGCACAGGGGGGTAGGCGGAGGGGGAAGGCTTCTTAGAAGCACTCCTGGTTCTTAGAAGGCGCGTGCCTTGTCTACATATGCAGGGCGGGCGCCTTCTAAGAAGCAGCCTCCTTCTAAGAAGCCTTCCCCCCTTCCCCTACCCCCCTCCGATCAGCAGGCCATCCTATTTTGCCCCCGCGTTTCGACAGCTGGTGCAAGGGGGGGAGGGAGTCCAGCTCTGGTAGGGTGCATCGTGGAACTGATGGAATCAGTCTGACAGTACTCCCTGGCCACGTCACACGTTTCGCGACAGCGCTGTATGAGAATACTTGGGAATATTTAGGACGGCTAGGGCTAGCATGTAGGTTGGGATCTGCATGGGATAGCTAGGCACGTCGTCGAGGCTTGCTGCGAGTAGCCACGCGAAGCGGACGTAGTGCTGGTGCGCGCTACAGCCTTCCCGCGCGAGGATCTTCGGGGATACACCACAATTCCTGGGTGCACCACGTCGCCTGCGAACAAGCATCACAGTGCTCGCGTGAACCCGTGCGCCGGCGCGAACAACAGTGCTGTGTGCACCACAGTGTTTGTCTGCACAGATGTGCGTTTTGTGAAGCATGCATGGTGCTGAGGAGGCCCACGATGCCCCGAAGAGGGCCCACACGTTCTCCCAGACGACCGCCCAAGGGGCCCCAAGACGTACGAATCTTCCCATTGCCATCGGAAAACTTAATTATTAGCACACTTGCCTGTTTCGTTTTGACAGCGTCCAAGACGGTCCAAGGGGACCCAAAGGTCGTCCCAAGACGACCAATCATGCCCCCAACGGCTCCAGGGGCTCCCAATACGGCCCTGAGAGTGGCCAAAGATGGGGAATACACATTGATATTTCGAGCCTTTCCCCCCAGTACGGTTCCAAGAGGCCCCAGATGCCCACGAGGCGCCCCGAGGAGGCCCGAAGAGGTCTCCACGAGGCTCCCAAGAAGCTCCCTCAAGGAACCCCGAAAAGGCCCGCAGATGTCCCCAAGAGCCGCCTTCAAGCCATCTTGGACCGTCGTGGGGCTACCCTGGGCAGGCTCGACGCTCTCTTGGATTATCTTGGCGCCCTGCTTGGGCCTTCTGGGGCCGTCTTGGGGTTCTCCAGAGGCTCCAGAAGCCCTGGGAGAAGTGTTGACGAGCTCATGGGCCCCGTGCGTGTGTATATGTATATGTATATGTATATGTATATGTATATGTATATGTATATGTATATATATATATATATGTTTTGGTTGTTTCAAGTGTTTCATCTGTTTTTCGCAATTTCGCTGATTTCGAAGGCGTTCGAGGAGAAGTGGGAGGAGGAGGAGGACGACGACGACGAGCGAACGATCAGTGAAGGTTTTGTGCTTTGAGTGGTTTGGGGGGTGACCATATATATATATATATATATATATATATATATACAAGTGGCACGTGTGTGCCCAGGCTCATACAAAAAACTGAAGGGGCGTTTGAAGCAGGAGTGAAATGCAACATCGAAGTCGCAGTCGAGCGCAAGTGGGGTTGCCACACCTTGCGATGTGTGTACCAGGACCCCCCAGGAAGCCTCAGGAGGCCCGACTTGGATACCAGAAGAGGCTCCAGGAGGCCCCAGGATTGTGAGTGTTGTGCGTGTGTGTGTGATGAATGCTTTGTGTGGTGCGTGCTTTTTGTGTGTTGTAGGTTGTGTGTGTGTGTGTGTATGTGTGTGTGTGTGGGTGTGTTATGTTTGTCTAGCGTGTGATGTGTTGGGCGTGATTTGTGTCTCTGTGTGCATGTAGTTCTGAAGCCCCAGGAGGCCCCAAGAAGCCCCAGGCGGCCTCAGGAGGCCCCAGGAGACCCCAGGAGGCTTCAGGAGGCCCCAAGAGGCTCCAGGAGGCCGCAGGAGGCCCCAGGAGGCCCCAGGAGGTTTCAGGAGACCCCCAGGAGGCTCCGAGGCGGGGTCTGGGGTGCCAGAAGGTTCAGAAAGCCCCAGGAGGCCCCAGGAGGTTCCAGGAGGCCCCCAGGAGGCTCCGAGGCGGGGTCTGGGGCTCGATTTCGGAAGGATTTTTCAAGCGAAACCGCCATTCCCTGAGAATCGGGGTCACAATTATTGAAATTACCATGTGTTTTTGAAGGTTTTATGTTAACATGTTGAAATTCCCATGTGTTTTTGGACCCTGACGTCACGATCTGCGTGAGGGGTGCCACCGATTTTCAGAAGTTCGAGGATGTCCCGAGCGAAACGCCCAGAAAAATCGCGGACGCGTGCGCATTAATCGCCTCTGAGCTCTACTCCCTCGGAGAGGTGCGTATGATAATATATATATATATATATATATATATATATACATATACAGTTGTACATATATATATATATATATATATATATATAGAGACACTCACACATAGCGGGGGTCCGGGCCCGGGCCCCAGGGCCGGGACCTTTACCATAAATGCGGGGCCCGGAGGCCCAAGCGGGCCCCCACAGGGCTCGAAGAGAGCCCCAAGCAGAGCCGAAGGCGAAGAGAGGCCTCACCAGGTTACCGCGACACGACCTCAGGAGGCGAAATTTGTTATTTTTGCTGGGTACTTTTAGGTGCTCACTGTGTCGGTGTTCCCATGCTCTCGACGGGCCAAAGACGGCCCAAGAAGCGCCGTAAACCACCACGGGCCGTCCCAAAGAAGGCCCTGGAGGACCCCAAGGCGGCCCGAGAGGAGACTAATGCTGCTCAAGAGGGCCCCCAGACAGCCCCAAGAAGGGCCAAAGAGAAGGAGCACGAACGAGCACTTCAAGGTTACCGCCCCAAGGTGCGCCCAGAGCGCCTCAAGAGGCCCAAGGGAGGGCCCAAGAAGACTGCTGAGGTGATCCTGAGGCGACTCTGGAGGAGGAAATCTGCATTTTTCAATTGTTCCACTGGTTTTTGTGGGTTTTCGTTGTGTCCGACTTTCCGCACTTCTGGCGCGCCAAAGACAGCCCCAGCATGGCCGTACATTACCACTGGACGTCCCACAGAAGGCCTTGGAGGGCCCCGGGGCGGCCCGAGAGGAGACCAGGACGGCTGAAGAGGGCTCCCAGACGGCCCCAAGAAGGGCCGAAGCGAGCGAGCATTTCGAGGTTACCAGCCCAAGAAGCCTCCAGTTGGCGCCAAGATGTCGAAGACACGCTCCAGGAGGCCTAGCAAGGTGGCCGCACGATGATCCCAGGAGGCCAGAACTGTTAATTTTCAAGGGGTTTTTGTAGGTTTTCGTTGCGTTGGCTTTTGCGTGATTTCGACGAGCCAAAGACGGCCCAACAAGGGCTGTAAACCACCATGGGGCGTCCCTCGGAAGGCCCTGGACGAACCCAAGGCGGCCCGAGTGGAGACCAAGACGGCTCAAGAGGGCCCAGAGGCGGCCCCAAGAAGGGCCAGAGAGAAGGCGTATGAGCGAGTGCTTCGAGTTGCCCCCCCTAGAACGGCCCAGATCGCGCCAATAGATAGAACCAGGAGAGGGCCGGCGAGGCCTTCCTATATGTGTCCTGAACCGCGCGAAAGCGTTCCCAAGAATCACCCCAGAGGGCCCCAAGGCGGCCCGAGGGGAGCCCAAGACGGCTGCCTTCCTTCTCCTCCTTCCTTCGTCGTCGACGACTCTCTTCTCTTCCCCCTCGACCACCTTCTCCCCCTCCACGTCTTCCCTTCGTGTCTCATTTATATGCTGCCCCTACGTCTGCAGCTGCTCGTCTTTTTCCTCTTCCATCGCCGATCGCTGACGTCTTTGCCGTCCTCCTTCTCCTTCTCATCCTTCTTATTATCCTCCTCCTCTTCTCCTTCTTCTCATCATCATCCTCTCCTCTCCCCTCCTCCCCTTCCTCCACTTCCAGCTGTTGCGGCTTTGCTCTTCCTCTTTCTCCTTTCTTCCTCCGCCTCCTCCTCCTCCTACTCCTTCGCCTTCTCCTCCTCCTCCTCCTCCTCCTCCTCCTCGTCCTCCTCCTCCTCCTCCTCCTCCTCATCCGCCGCCCCTTCGTCCTCCTTGTCCCTCTCTTTCTCCTCCTCCTCCCCTCCTCCTCCTCCTCCTCCTCCTCTTCCCTCCTCCTCCTCCTCATCCTACTTGAACTCGAACAGTAGGTCCTCTCGCTCTGCCTGCTTCTCACCCAGTCTGTCCGCTGCCATGTTTGCTCTGGGGCATGGAAGCTGGCCAAGCTTCCGTGCCCGCCTTTGACGCGCCCAGTCCTCTTGTATTTACTGTACATTCCGTGTTAATCCGTTTGCGGAAGCCATCATCACATCTACATCCTCATTTCTAGTTTCTTTTTCCTCCTCCTTCTCCGCTTTCAACTCCTTCTCTCCCTTCTTCTTCCTCTCCTTTTTCTCTTTTTCGCTTCCCTCCCACCTCCTTCTCTTCATCGACGGGCTCAGAGACCCCCGAGCTTGCCCCTGCTGCCCGAAAGAGCCTCAGGAGGGCCCCAGGAAGGGCCCACGACGGTCCAAGAGGGGCCCAAGATGGCTCAAGAGGGCCGATAGAGTGGGTCAGGACGGCCCAAGAGGCCCCCGCAACGACACGACGGTCCAGGAGGTCCAAGCGAGCCCCAAGACGACCCAAGAAGGGCCCAAGACGGCCTTAGCACGGGCCCAAAGGCCCCCAAGAGGGCTCTAAGGCAGCTCAAGAGTCCCCCGGACCAGCCTCAGTTCGGTTCCCGAATACCCCAGGAGCTCATCCTCAGCATGCGTTCAAGTGGCTCTAAGACTGCCCAAAAGCGGCTGGGGGTAGCCGGGG